GAGTAGAAGAAGTAAATATGTAGCATTTTACTAAGCAATGACAGCAGTTGAGGGAGGGTTGGGAGGGGTGTAATAACACACATATCTGAAAGGTGTTGACAGCAAGAGACAAATCCTGACCCTGTGGCTCAGACATAAACTCTGTGGCCATGGAGCCCAGGCAGAGTGCCATAACTTGCTGTGCATTGTTCTTACAGACCTGGTCTGTGAATGCCCAGTTTCAATCCATCCCCTGGAGTAGGGTCAGAGAATTCCCACCCACACGTACTGCCATGCCTGGCAATGGGATTACTGGAAAGTGATACTGGAAGGAAGCTGTGCTTCCCCATTATACCCAGGAAGGCGAGTTAAACAAGGCAGTCAAACAGTGAAGGAGCTAAACAACTCCATTTCTCTCCCCTGCACCGGCTGCTACCTGTGTCATGAGGCTGTCAAACATATGGCCAGGGGCCCATCAGGCCTAAGTCAGGCCCTCTCTTCCAAAAAGAGGAAGTCGATAGTGGGAAAGCCACAGAGTGCCACAGACACTTCTCAATTCTCATTCTCCACATGTGTGGGAGGGGAGAGGGTTACCCACACTGAGCCCTCCTGTTACCAAGTCCCATCCTGTAGGGATGAGTCAGGCCAGAACACAGCGAAGACCTTCCTATGAAGCGAGATCTAAAGGACAGGAATTATATAGGGTGATAAATGGGGCTATTACCAGAACTAATGAGAGAGAGAGAGAGAGAGAGAGAGAGAAGGAAATTTAGGAAGAGGAAGTGTTCTATACTATATTGCAGAGACCAGAGGCCCATGCTGCAGTGATAGAAGGATGGATTAGGTGGCTTCATAGGCTTTTCACTAATTTATATAAATTTTGAGTTGATACCAGTCAAGTTGTTTTGCTTATGTGGTTCTATCCCATGGTTGCTGCTGGCCTCCATATAAGATGCCTTAAGCTCAGATATGGTGGGGAAATATTCTTCACAGTTAGCCCCATGTTGCTGAAACTGTCCACATATACCAGAAACTCTCAACATGTAAATCCTGTATTCATAGCATTGTAGAAATTAAAGCTGTAAAACCCCACTCAGTTATCTTGTTCATCCCACCATCAGTGCAGGATTGTTCCCTAAGGTATAGTCTTAATTGTCTTGTTCATTCTGGTTTTAAATAGCTTGGGAAATGGGGCTCACATAAACTCTCTTGGGAAGGTTTTCCACACTAATAGTACTTCCTGTTCCAAGTATGTGCTTAATCATCAAGTCTATATTTTCTCATGATTTGCCTTATCACCACTTTGAACGCTCCAAGGAGTTCCTGTCTCAGAACTGGCTCTTCACGCCTTTCAAACTTTGCAGGCTGTTATATCTCCCTTGTCAGGTGCCAAGCGCCCACTGAGCCTGTCTCTCCATTCTGCCTGCACCCCATCTCTCCTCTTTAGTCCACTAGCCCACCCCTCATTATATTTTCCCTTCTCTTCCTTTCAACCTTATCCTTTCCTCCAGTTTTAAACTACCCTCCCCCGAATTAAGGAGGTCATGGCTATCCCCAGCAGCAGAAGAGGAAGGTGTGACGGGTTCCCTCTGGGGTACCACCTGGAACTGGAGTACCACTGAGCCCCCCGACCCACCAGCCTGGGCTCCCTCTTACACTGTACTGCTGTGACCAGCTGCAAAGCCCTCCAGGCTTCAGCCTGCACTTTCACCAGCCTACATACAGATAGGGACACATCCAGCTGCAGTTACATGCAGGCACTTTGACCAGCCCCTTCATGAGAAGGCGACAGCTAGGGCAACTCCCAGCTTCTCAGGCACGCATCCCCAAAATTATACCATCTTGCGCTGGGAGCACTGAACCGCCGTGGGCAGCGGGGGTAACCTGCCACTTTTAACTTTTAGGCACCCTACTGCCCAGTCCCCCACACACAGTCCCACTACAAAGTACCCCACACTGACCCCTCCCCCACTGCTCAGCACCCCAACATACACAGATCTCCACCAACCCCACTGCCCTGCACCCCCACAAACCTCCCACTGCCAAGCGCCCCCATCCCCTCACTGTCCAGAGCCCCCCCACAAACCCACTTTCCCAAGCCCTGCCCCTCCCCCCCACCCTCCACCCCGGCTCTGTCCACTGGGTTGAGCGAGGAGCACTCCAGCAGGGCTATGTGGGGCTCTCTCCCCTTCAGCAAGTCCCACCCCCTGCTGGGACCTGGGCATGGCAAAATTTGAGTTTTTAGGCACCACTAGAACGTGCCTACTATGCCTGTGTGAAATCTGGCCCTGCAGAAGAATGCTAGTTGTTCTAATCATGATGCTCAGTAATTACTGTTGTAACTTTTTTTGTGTGTGTGCGCGCACTATTTTATGCTGTGTTTTTATTGTCTGGTGCAAGTATATTTCACATGCATTTTAGTATAAATTTATAAAAAAATAATGTTTGTACTTCTGTAACCCCAGAATGAGGCACAATTGCAAAAGCTATCTGACGAAGGCCGCTCTCTCCATTTATTAACATTTGATTTGATAAAGCCTTTGGATTGAAAATGTTCATTCCAAGTTTCAGTCAAATGGCTGAGATATTAAACATCACAAACTAGGGATTATAATGATTATAAATGCTTAACACATGCTTTCCTGCAGCTTTCTTGTGTAGTGTTCTCATAGCTCAGATGAGAGTAGCAGTTACATCTCCAATTTTATGCCCTGAAAGTAGCAGAACCTACAGAACTGTGTAATAATGGCAAGCCGCGGGTATGAATGGTGCCAAACCACCAAAGGGGTTTTGGGTTTTATTTTTCAATTAAAGCAATACTGCTTTAAACTGATCTACATTATTTCACCTGGCTGTTTGATCCTCCATGCTGCTCCCAGAACCTGCATATGTCATTTTTCCTAATATAAACTCCAAGATTGCAAGCTTGAAAATGTCTGGTTTTTTTAATGTAACTCATTCACTCTGAAAACTCCCAGGTTGTTCATTATGGACCCAATCAAACATCCATTTGAAATCACTGAGAATCCTTCCACTGACCTTATGAATATTAGATCTGGCCCATAAATCAATGGTCTTTGCACCATCTCCAAGGAATTCAGGCCTTGGGCTTTATAATGCATCACTTGACAAGGATGAGTGAGGAAAAGGTGGTAGCAATATTTACCGTTAAAATGGCATTTTCCATCTTCAAGTACTTCACAAACATTTTCTCTTTTAAAGGTCAGTTTGGTTTTATTGTTCAGATCTGTGGGGAGGGATAGCTCAGTGGTTTGAGCATTGGCCTGCTAAACCCAGGGTTGTGAGTTCAATCCTTGAGGGGGCCATTTGGGGCAAAAATTGGGGATTGGTCCTGCTTTGAGCAGGGGGTTGGACTAGATGACCCCCTGAGGTCCCTTCCAACCCTGATATTCTATGATTCTATAAACATTAGATTTTAAGGGCCCAATCCTTGAAAATATCTCCCATCGATTTCAGTGGGAGTAGCAGATGCTCAATAGCACCCAGGAAATGCTCAGCACCAATAAGGACAGGCCCAACATTTTCACCTTCTCTTTCCAGGGATGAAGGGGGAGAGGCAGGATATAAACTCCCCCGAAAATTACATTTCCCACTGACTACTGTTGTAAATTTTAAATAGTGAAGAAGAAATTTGTATCTTGAACCTGCAGAGATATTTTGTTAGAAGTTCATCAGCCATTATAGATATTTTTCACAAGTTCGACCCTATGAAATAGTGAACGTACCACAGCATAACAATATTGAAGGCTTTTACAGATTAAATCACAAACAGCCATGACCCATTTAAGTTACATGTTCATAAATCATATTTCATGGCTTTCATTTGCATAATGAGTCTGATCATTTGTGTTAATTTTTGTTTGTAAAGAATGGCTTTCCACAATTCAATCATGCACTGGAACTCAATAAGAGCTGGAGAATCTGGCTATAAATGCACAGCAATGAACAGGAGAAGCACTTTTAACAATGAAAATGAGGTGGGTTTTCTTTTGGAGATGTGCTTTTTTAATCTGCCAATAAAATTAATGATAGTGTCCTTTGGAGTAGCATGATCAGGCTCTGAAATTGTATTTAAAAGCCAAAGGCCATTAATCCTTACTGCACCTATAGCACAATACAGTACATAGCAATTTGCCTTTAACAAAATGTAACTAAGGTGATTTAATTGAAAAAGTGGACATATGAGTTGTATTCAGGAATATGTCTTCATGGTTAATGTAAGGGAAATGACTTTCCAATATTGTAAATGAGGTGATTAGCAGGTCACTTTTTTCCCCCCATAAGAGATTTTGAAAGGACCTTAGCTAAATAAATTTATAATTATCTGATAGCTCTGATTCCTGGCTACAAAGGAGTATCAAAAATACATTTAATGGTGTATGCAAAAGAATCCACGCCTGGCTTCTATCCAGATTCCACCCCCTGTAATTTTAATGTTAACTAAAAAAGGGACATATCATAGAATATCAGGGTTGGAAGGGACCTCAGGAGATCATCTAGTCCAACCCCCTGCTCAAAGCAGGACCAATCCCCAGTTTTTGCCCCAGATCCCTAAATGGCCCCCTCAAGGATTGAACTCACAACCCTGGGTTTATGCAGATCCATACGCAACAAGAAAGGTATCTCATAAGCTACTGTGAGCAGCATGGCTGGCATTCCACTGAAGAGCAGAATTTGCTTCTAGAGTGAACTAGCATTGAAAGATCAATCAGAATTGAATTTGATTTCACTGTAATTCCTAGGAAAAGACTCAGAAATCAGTGCATAGGTTAGTATTTACTGGTAGTAAATATGATGGTATTTTTCAAAGCAGGAAAGATGATAAATCTACTTACTGCCCCACATTTTGATCTAGCTTACACTGGCAACAGTTTAAAGTAACTGCACTAAAGTCAACCAGTGTCAAAAAATTCAGAATCTTTGTTCTTCCCTCCTCCCTCCCCCTCCCTCCCTGCCCAAATTTAAAGCAAAATTAATTTGTGTTTTTTTTTCCTCCTCAGATAAAAAATTTTTGACACCAAGATGGGAAAACAGAACAGCAAACTACGTCCTGAGGTCATGCAAGATTTGCTAGAAAGTACAGACTTTACAGAACATGAGATCCAGGAGTGGTACAAAGGCTTCTTGAGAGACTGTCCAAGTGGACATTTATCTATGGAGGAGTTTAAGAAAATATATGGGAACTTTTTTCCTTACGGGGACGCTTCTAAATTTGCGGAACATGTGTTCCGCACTTTCGATGCTAACGGCGATGGAACAATAGACTTTAGAGAATTTATCATAGCCTTGAGTGTAACATCTAGAGGTAAACTGGAGCAAAAGCTGAAGTGGGCATTCAGCATGTATGATCTGGATGGAAATGGATACATCAGTAAGTCAGAAATGCTGGAGATAGTGCAGGTACTGTTCAGGAGGGTTTTACATTTTCTCTTTCACTCTCTGATTAAATTACGGGGGCCGTATTGTGAATGTTGGGTGTGCAAAAGGTTATTGTGATATCTTCTCCCATGTTTTTAGTCTACTATATATGTTTGCTTGAACATAAAAAGATACTGTTAAATTTGGCAAAGGTGGAACACCAATTAGAGTAGAAATGGAGATGTTTATAGATACTTGAAGCTTTACTGAGTAGACATGCTGCTTCTCTGTGGGTTTCCCTATGCTGGGAAATTACCTTGAGTTTGAACACGGTAACTAACATAATGATAAATATTACAAAGAACTCCATGTAGACAAGGACTGTCATATTTAACATCATGTCAGCTGCTAGTGAGTCATCCTAGTGGGGAGCCTTGGGTTGACCAAGACTCTCTAACACATTTTTAAATGGGACTGGCCCGGTCTAACTAAGAGCAAAGTCCTCTTTAAAAGCATATTGAGTACGAAGAAATAGCTAAAATGTTTGAAAGCTCTTTTCCTAACCCGGACATGGCCTGAGCGCTTTACATTGTCTTAGTTAATATAATTTTCCAGTGTAGACAAGCCCTCTGTTTTGATTCCATGCATGGCTTCAGATATATTATCTAATGTTGCACTTATGAGTTCTTCCCCATTTTCATCTTTCTCTAATGTGTCTTTCCCCTTGAGGGCACATCAAATTCATTGAAAGCTTCATATTTTTTTTGGTTATAATACACTTGCATAGTTAAATCTGTATAATCCACCTCTGCTAGGGAAGCGCCTGCCTCCTCGTCACTGGAGATATTGAAGTACTAATTAGATATGATACTATTCATGTTTAAAGATCTGATAGAAATGGAGGAAATGGAATGCATACTAATTACAATTTATGATTGTAGAATCATTATAATGCATGCCACCCTACTCCTTTTTATTAGGACATGTCTTTGAACATCCTTCCAACAGGAACCAGTGATGGCACTTGTTCTATTCCATATACATCAGACCGTATACTTGACTCAGTTGCGGCCACCTTCGTCTTCTTTTATTTTTTGTATTTTGTATGCTTGTTTGAGAGTTAAACAGGACTTCATGTAGCTAACTCTAAGGGGCATGAATGAATATTTTAAAAACTGTGTGCCAAATTCAGACTGGTATAAATGGTACAACAACAATACCATCAGTGAAGTTGCATCTGCTTACAGGGGACATTCAGAAGAAGTATGAATAAGGGCAAGAGGACAAATTCATGATGAGGGGACAGAAAGGCAGGGTTGTAGCAGGAAAAGCAACTAATAGGAGGGTATAAAAGTGTATGCAGAGAGTCTGCTTTATCTTGCAGCTTCTTACATCTCCTATGAGTTGTTGACTTGTTTCACCGCTCTTTACATCCCCTCAGTGTATAATTGGCACCCATTTATGGTCATTTTCACCAGCTGACCAATGTGTCACTTCTTAATTTGACTCTATAGCAGCTAAGATCATTTTGAAAGTGGACATGGGCATTACACTTCATTGGACAAATAAAACATGCTTTCCTTAGCCAAGGAAATCACTTTTCTTTCTTTCAAAGACATACACATAACCTTGCCGGTGTGCCATAATAAACTATATGAAATATTCTAGTGAGAAGATACTGGCCCGCTTACAAATTTTCCCTTGCAAAATAAACCAAAAAAAGAGTCAAAACAAATAAAAATTGTCCCTCACGCAAACAGATTTTTTATCCCTGAAAATTGAAAAGATCATGAAACACCATAAAGCACACTTGGAATCTAACTATTGCCTATCTATTAGACAAGGAAGGATTGCAATGGCCAGCATTATAAAACCCTAAAATAGATAGATTTAAAAATATGGAGAATGTAGTTCACATAGTTTTCCTACAAAGGAAACTACTATTTTTTCAGTTGCCACAGATCTGCTAATCAGATTGCTTAGATACTAACTGACTTTGGCTCCTCTTTAGTCATGTAAGCACCAAATTCTGGTCTCATTTACACCCATAAAACCCCACTGAAATCAATGGGCATTGAAGGGATGAAACTGAGATCAGATTTTATCCATTTATACGTCAAAAACGGAAGGATGGAGAGTGTCTCTTCACTCATATCAATATGAACGACTGTACAACTCATTAAAGAAAACTCATGCACGAACTGCTAGATGGAGAATTCGGCTGGCTGTTTGCCACCTTGTGTGTGGGGGGCATGTACAACCATAGTTATTTTATGCATACCTGAGACTGCACACTCCCCACCCCCCACCCCCATGGGCCACTGTACTGCATTTGGAAAAAAATGTGGCTCTCAAGGCAAAATAACAAAACACACAAAACCGCAAATCAAATAAAAACTGACAAATAGGTTAGAAGGTGGGCAAGAAGACCACTCAAGAATCCGTATCAGACTCTAACCAGCCCTAGCTTTAAAAACAGCGAGAAATGAATACAGTATCAGACCTCTTTTGAAATTTGTACAGACAGGCTCCTCTCCTCTTTCTCTCTTTTATTTTTTTTCCAGACTCCTTCTATAATAGTAACACACAGACTTGAAATTTCATAAACGCGTTTTGCTGCAAGACACATCATCACATCACTGGAGGAAAAAAATTAAATGAATTAAAAGTATGATACCTCTTCCACCTGTGTTGTTTTTCATCACGTAGGCCAACAAAGCACTGGATTTTTAGAGACAAATTCCATTAATTAATGTATTCAACAACCATTCAGTATTGGCACCAGAGCTGGATATAGGGAAGGTGATCCAGGCGACTGCCTGGGGTGCTGGGCTTGGGGGATGCCGGGCTCAGAGTGCTGTTTTTTGTTATCAGCAACAAAAGGGAAAATAGAATGTTGGAAGTAACATGTTTTAGGTATTTCATATTTGCTTATATATGGCATGAATAAATACAGATTTACAGCTCCTAGCATGCAAATTTATCTTCTTATATGACAGGGATAAATCATGCATGCAATTCGTGCATCAAAGTTATGAAATGGGTTACACATGCAATAAAAAAGTGGGTATTCGAAAGTTTAACACATGTAGTGGCGTGGGCACCTGGGGTGACATTTGGTCTAGGGCCAACCCTGATTAGCACCCTTGCCCTGCTGCTCTGGTTCCCCTGCTCATAGACCTTGACAGCTCTTCATTCTACCTGTTTCTATGCTTCCAACTCTCCCCCTCCTGCCAAAATTTTGAGGGACTTTCTAAGGTTTGACAGTGAGAATCTAAGTCTAAAAAACCCAGTAAGTTTTGTTCAGCAGTTGCTCCCCTATTGCAGACTAAAGGGAACTTCCCAAATAGAGAAGCTGCCTTCTACATAATGCAGCTATAAGTTCTGCTTGCCAGGCAACTTTGCCTGCAAGTATCCCCCGTCCATCCCAATTCACAGAACCATAGGAATGTAGGGCTGAAGGACCTTGAGAGGTCATCTAGTCCAGCCTCCTGCACCCAGGTTCGACAGAGCACTGCTGAATAGAGCAGGACATTTATCTCCCTTGTCTTACATGTGACACTCCTGGCACCCCAGAGTGATATTAACCTTTTTTTCAACTGCATCACAGTTTTGGCTCATATTTAATTTTGCAATCCACCATAACCCCCAGGTCCTTTTCAGCACTACTGCTGTCTAACCAGTAATTCCCCATTTTGTAGTTGTACATTTTATTTTTCTTTCCAAAGTAAAGTACTTTGCACTTGTGTTTATTGAATTTCATTTTGCTGATTTCAGACCAATTTTCCAATTTGTCAAGTTCCTTTTGAATTCTAATCCTGTCCTCCAAAGTGCTTGCAAACTCTCCCAGATTTGTGATCTGCAAATGTTATCAGTATGCTCTCCACTCTGTTATCCCAGTCATTAATGAAAATGTTTAAAAGTACTGGACCTGGAACAGCCCGTTGTGGGACCCCACTAGATACATCCTCCCAGTTTGAAGGCAAAGGATTGATAACTACAGTATTCTTTGAATGTGGTCTTACTACAGTTGTGCACCCACCTGATAGTAATTTAATCGAGATCACATTTCCCTAGTTTGCTTCATGCCTCATCATTAATAATAATAATACTGTTATAACACTTCTCATCTGTATATTTCAGAGGGCTGAGGCTTGATGGGGAGGGCTCTGTGAGTGTGTTTGAGTGGCAAAGGCATGTGAAACTGAGATTGATATGGATGTTTTGTTGTCTTATTGGAGATTAATTTTTAGTGGTTCAGTTGATAAGAAATGTCCTTTAGCAATCTGAGCTGTAATTCAACAAAGTTATGCGTGCGGGGGGGCTGTTTGGTTGTTTTTTAATTGTGGGAATAGAGGATACTGTATCAAATGTGTTCCACTTGGACATAAGTCATCAGGAACCTCCTCTTTGGGGGAAGAAAAAAAAAGAGCTATGCTTGCATCGTTGATATATCCCTCAGGAACCTATTACAAGTCTCTGATCTATGATACATTTGCATATTGATACAGTAGGATTTATTATATTCTAGGCTGATATTCTGCATGAGAGAACACATCAAGCTAATGCATAAAAGGACACTTTCAAAGTGAAAATCATTTAAATGGAAATCCCCCACCACCACTGGAGCCCCCCACTTACAAAGAGCCCCAGGGATTACTAGAAGTGAAATCAAGGAGAGGAAAAACATTTTGTTTCTCTTTTTGTCAGTCTGCTGACTTTGTGTGCTTTAAAGCAGAGGGAATTAGGTGCTGCAACACCTGGCTATTAGGCAATGTGTGCACTACAAGGTAGGGGTGTGACCTCCCTGCCTGTGTACACATACTTGCACGAGTGGTCATTGAGCTAGCGTGGGCATAAATAGCAGTGTAGCCTGGAATGTGACGTGCTGTACTGATGAAAAGTGCTAGGTGGTGGTATTATTGTATGACATCAGTCTGGTCCTGGTGCAGTGCTTGGGTGGGGAGAAGGGAAGCTCACATGCATGCTCTTGTACATGCTCTGTAAGAAGGCGTTTACCAATAGGAGCAGAGCTGAAACTG